AGCTCACAACTCATTTTAAGTCCAGTGGTCAAGCATGAAGTATGGTTCTGTGAAATAATGAACTCTTTTCAGCTGAATACAAGTCCATGTTCTTCCTTTCACAGATACAAGATCACACCTGTAGACTGTAAAATTGCCAGCCATGAGGGTACATCTCTAATCAAGCACGTACATGTACAGCCTTCGCAGATTTAAGCTTACACCTGTAATCTCAAGAGGACCCATGACGAGGATACATCACTTGTTATCAAACAGCCTTCTACTATTGGGTGAGTCAAACAGAGTAGGGCCCACTCCGTCACAGCAAGAATTTGTGTAACAAACTGTTACCCAAGGCATTTAACTGCTTGAATTACATGTACAAGTAATGTACGTCTACCTGCAGAGTGACTTTGCCCATGCATCACATCAGTAGTTATACCTGCATTGGGTCAGTTCAGTCCAGTAAGTCACATAGCGTTCACTGTCATGCGGTGTTTGTCCGTGAAATTGCAGCAGATTCCCTGAAACCATGCAAACTGAGTTTTTGTCTTTGTTGGTAAATTTGGCTTTACTTGAAGTTGAAACGCAGTCCTGCTATTTAGGGCAGCACAAACAAAGGCTATCTTTTGTACACAACATTGTGAAAAATTGGATACAAGTGTTAGAATAATGCAGCTAGCTGCCTACAGCCTTCAGAATTATTGCTTCCTCTCTACATGCATGTGTGGAAAGATTCACAAAGTGCTGAACTTTAAACTACACAAATGTTCATGTGTTCATAGAATTGCTGTTGAGCAGAGTTTTGATGGAGTGGGCCATGAGTTTTCTTCACTTCAGAAATGATTCTTTGGGGGAAAGCATGTGGTATAGACTCTTAGTGACTATCTTTTTGCATTTAAATACGCCACAATGGGGTGTGGTTTCTAAAACAGCAGAATTGACATGATAATCTGTATTGTCATTCGTACTTTTTCAAGTGCAATGCAAAATATGTCATCCTGTTTTAGTGGATCACATAGGTTGACCCATGCCCAGGGCCCTCCAAAAGCCAAAAGTATAACAACTAACGCAGTATGCAAAATTGATCAGCCAAGAAATAAATCCATTGGAAGGTTGTTCCTTGCCATGCACATTTCAAATGCACTGGAAGGCAATAATATTTCAGTTGAATTCATTGTAACTCTTGCTATTTTACATAAGCATCGAGAACATGTGCAAGTGGGCCAAATACAAGTAGAATTGATGTGTAGCACTGAACAACTATTCATAAAGGGCCGCATAATTAAGGCAGCTACCCCACTCAGTGCATAAATTTTGTATTCCCTGCAATAAGAACCATTCAATTTTTCAGGAAAAATTGATCTGATCTATGGTTCTGATATTACATCATAGGCTTACATGCCACTGAATGTAAATTGAATGATACACGTATGTGCACTGTTGTACATGTACATGTCACATGAAATTTCTTGCTACGACTACCAGTCATTAGCTTGACATGTGACCCTTCACATTATCTCCTGTGTAGCAATAGCTAGTTCAGATGAGGGCATGTACACATATGAAATTGATCAAGTTCATATTTAGGAGTATCCAACCAAATATTCTAATCACTAGATGTCTTTTAAGGTTTCCTCTGAACTTGGGAAAAGCAGCAGTGGAATTCTTTTTCCTTTGTGCCTTTTTCCTCCAAGTTATTCTCTCAATCAGATCAGAAGCACATTAATGAAACTGCTCAGTGAGGTATATTTCTATTTCTAAATATTTATTTTCTACCAATAGTAAGCTGAAAGGGACTTCTCTCTGGTGTTAATAATACGAACCAAGAACTTCACCCACAGTATTCTTTGTAATGTCCTTTTTTGCAGAACTCTCTCCAAAGTAAGGTTTCCTTGTTCACTAAAATCTGTTTTCATGTTATACTCTCTGAATACACAAGAACCCGATTTCTTCATCTGAAAATTTGGCAAGATATCTTTTTACAAAGTTGATTCCAATTCTTTTCATGCACAAGCTTTATTATGTCAGTTTTTCGATGCTGATAACAAACTTTCTTTTCTGAATACAGAACTCTAAATTTTTCCAAGCACTTAACCTTCCTTGCAATTCAACCTCTATTGCTATAACTTTATGACAAGGACAATTGTTAAACTTTTAACATGCAAAATTGAACTCATGCCCAAAGCCTACTTTAACTGCTTTCAACACCAACAAATGTTTAAGAATGGTCAAAGTCCAGGAGTGTGTTACATGTACATCATCAGTTCAAGAAATCAAGAACAAGCCTAACAAGGATCTCTGTGTTGGAACTCTGCACCTAAGATGCCTCTCAAAACTCTAATCTTTCATACAACTGACTACTTAGCTGGGATATGTACACTTGTACATGTACGTGTATGTGGTTTTTTCCTGAATGCTGTTGCAACACACTCAGTGGATGAATCAACAGTTCATAAATAAATTTTGCGCACCTGAATAACGGTGTCTTTCTCCAAATCACAGATTTTCATGTGAAGTTAAGAAGGATTGAGAACTTCTGGGTGGTTCTCAAACATTGCTGAATCAACTGAAACAGTCACATTTCAAAAGGTTTACTTTTCAAAATCTATCTTTTTCTTTCTCCAAATCCCAAACAATAGGCCTAGACTTTCTCTTTGCAAACTGAACACCAATTCAATACATTCTCTTTAAGAAGAGAAGATAAACCTTCAACTGTTACTGCAGTTCTTTTCCATAATCAATCTTAATTCTAATAAAAACACCCAGGCATCCATGTGCCCAGCTGCTCATGTGCCATGCATACTTACAGTACCATTTTTCACATCTCTATGGAACTATCTCCCATGTTTTGAACAGTACCACACCATGTGCCCCTTCAGATATAAGGGTATAAATTTGAATTGCAAATGATGCAAATGAACATGTAATCAGAAATCAAATACAAAGAAATTACTTCAAACTGTGTCACATGAACAGGAAAGCAATTAATTTAACCCTCCTTTTGCTGTAACAGTCACAGTCAAAAATCCCTTCCACTTCTCCTTGTGCAGTATGTAGACATATCGTATGTCACTTGACTGATTTGACTGACAGGACAACTGTGTCGAGAATGCATCTTTGAGTATAAATACATGTACATTGTACGCACTATATATGTACACTAAATAAACTTGGACCTAGCATCCCATTTCCTAGTTTATCCATGTACAATAACTGATTGGCCAAAGTTTTATAATAGCAGAGGGTCAATGTGTTTGTTTCTTTCAGCTGAAAGTCATTATGATGAATCCATTTAACATGAGGGGCACTTTCTCCTATCTACAGATAAGCACCTCACCCATACTGAAGCCATCTACCACTCAAACGTGCACTCAAATTTTAACCAAACAACAAGGGATACTTTGTATTTCCAAATATTCTATCTGTGATATCATTGGATGACACTGAACACAGCAATTGAGGAATTCCCTCAACCATTCTTGAACTTGCGCATTAATTGCCTGGAGGGCCATGAATACTACCCTGGTCTGGCCACTGCCTGGGTGGTATGGCCTTACATGTACATCCATCAAAATCCTAACCCTAACCCACATCCTCAATCCTCCAAAATCCTCCAATAACCCAACTTCAAAAACTGCATTCATCCTCAATCCTCCAAAACCACCTGAAGGATTCAGAGGATTGAGGTGGGTTATTAATCAAGTTCTCTTGTGATTGGGTAACATTTATTTCTTCAAGTGTATTTCCCAAATTTGGAGGTGGACGCTTCCTATATTAACCTTCAGCCATCTCAATTTGTATGAGAGGCAATGAAATTCTATATAAACCCAACAAAAGCAGAATATACACAGACGCTGCTCCTAATTATCTCTTATTGACCTCAAACTACAAGAAACCAAACAAGGTTAATGTCTCATAGACTTAACTACATGTTAATTTATGTAAGAACCACTGACATTCTGTCCTTTCCAACTAATCTTTATCTTGTCGGTATTCATATCCTCCTCTTTTCTTGACGCAGCTGTTGGACTGCGATAGGGGGCCCCTTGATGTCTTCTATTTCACTTCTATCTGTCTTCTATCATCATTTGGTTAATAATTATGCTGAGAACTCAGCTAAGGCTCAGCTCATGTAAAAAATGCACGGAGATGGGGGCAGATTCTACCCCCCCCAAGTTTAGGGTTTAAGGAGGGGAACTTCCAGATGATATTCTCAGATATCATTGAATTATTCAGAAATAGTTACATTTCAAGAGGTTGTCTTTGCAAAATCTCTCTTTACTTCTTTCTCCAAAGCCTAAACAATATCATTCCTCTTCAAATGCCAAACATCTCCTCACTACATATACATTCTTTGTAAGCTTAACAGAAGATTTATCCTTTCACTGTTATCTAAATTCTTTTATTATTATTCTCAAACTTTCCTGATGCACGCACATTCGCATGCATGTACGCAACAACTAGTGTGCAATTTGTAATCAAAGTTGCATTTATCACCTCACCACAACTACGTCACTGCATCTACATATCTAAAGGTTTTTACATGGTCATTTCTATCTGGATAAATAATTCTTCATATTCATCATGGATAAATCATCTAATATTGCCTCAGTGACAAGTACAATTGGCCTGCCAGTTTGTGGAAGTCACCCACATCTAGATGGCTTGAAATTGTCTCTAATTTCTATCAGACCAACTTGAGAAGTTCCTGTATACTTCCAGATACTTCCCTTTCTTCCCATGAAATTTGGGTCAATTGTTTCCTCAAAGGGAAACTGGTTAATACACATTTCTTTGTAAGCTCTGCATACCTCACTTTCCTGCAGTATAGTTGTGGTCGGAGATTAATGAAGGTAAAAAGTTCTCACTTTTCTTGCTTCGCCAAATCTATACAGGCAAATACACATGTACATTTAAGCTTCATTGCAGTCACTCTTAGTAAAATATCTCATGTATTGTTGCAAACATCTTTAGTAAAGAATATTTGCATAGGCCCTAGCCTTTACTGGCAAGGAAATAAAGTTTTGTCAAGTTTACTTATTATGGAAATATAGAGCATTTCAAGACAAATATCAAGCAATTTCTTTCTTTTCTGGAAATCTTACCTGCTCTCCAGTTACAGTACAATCTTTGCAATGTGAAATAAGGACTGTCAATTTTTCTTACATCTCTGAAAACTTCATCTCTCTATCCCCTTAAGCTCATGCATATTCATATATCTGTCTCACAACTACATTCTTTCAAAACTTTTCCACAGTATAATATTGTGCCAATCCAATTGGCAGTT